GACGTGGGGAGGGTTTGTGCATGCCACACTTGAGTTGGGAGAGGTGGGGGGAGGGCCTGGGAGGGTTGGTGCTAGTGCAGGAAGGCTGGGGGATGGATGGTGTGGCAGGGTGCGAGCACAGGAAGGCTAGGGGGACTTACCAAAGCAACTTGTGGCCTTCCCTGCCAGCTTCCCCATTGACTTTGCTTTTGGGCAGCCAGCAGGGAAGGTTGCAAATGGCAGTCATGTGTCCATGGGGCACCACATCTGTCATTAAGTGCGAACTGGTTGCCAAGTGCCTGAATCATTATCACATGACTGCGGGGTGTTGCAATGGCTGGAACTTTGAGGACCGATCATGAGTACCACTCGCTCAGTGCCATCGCAACTTTGAACGGTCGCTGAACGAGTGGTTGGCAAGCGAGGACTACCTATATTGGTATTATGAGGACGATGATTAATGGATTGGATTTGGAGGATCATCAAGGGGTCTCTGATTTGTGGTCAGATTAATTTTCTGCTTCCTTCTAAGGAGGATAGAGAGAGGTGAAAGAAGAGGAGTTACATGACAGTTGGACAGAAGGAAAGAAAAGGAAAGAGCCAGTATATATGGAACAATATTACAAACAAACACTCTAGGGACCCACTGTGACAAGTCATTCACTTTGTAATTAAGAGAATCAACTTAATGCATCCTGTAAAAATCAGTTTGTGTAGTGATGTTTTTAAATGAAGTTTTAATCATTCAACCTGTCCTCTGAATAAACGGAAGGCAGAATATAATATCTCTCACCCTTGGCTGAGATAATACTGTAGGCTACCAGTATCAACAACAACAACAACAGATAAGAAAGGCAATCATGTCATCGTGGTTGAATTTCAAAATTAGAACTCAAGTTTATCATTCTAGGGTGATGATAGCAAGATCTTATAATAATAATTTATAGATTACTAAATCACTGACATCTGTCAGTCGTTTATAAGTAAGACACATAAGCAACAATATACAATGAACAAAAAGTATATAAACAAAAGTTCCAGAAATGAATGGAAACATGGAATAAAATTAACCAAATCAACTGTAAGCAAAGAAAGATAATACATATATACGTACATATTTATCTATCCACAAAATAGGTTTGCCCAGCTAGATGGCAGCACCAAGCCAACTGTGGCTGATCTTGACAACTTATGCTTGGGCCAGATCTAGTAATACTTGGATGAGGGACCACCAGAAGAATTCCAGGGCTGTAGACTAGGCTGGGCAGCTTAAAAGGATATTCCAGAAGAAGGCAATGGCAAAACATTTCTCTATTGTCGCCAAGAAACTCTGTGGATGTTTTCATGAAGTCAAGAGGCAAGATATAGCTTGATTTGAAGAAAATTACTTTCAGCTAAAACAAACTTGAAACATATGATGCCATTTCTGTCCTAACATATCCTAATTTTGCTGATGGCAGCATACTGATTTTAATTTTAAAATATTTTACAAGACAAATATTTTTCATCTTTGCTGATGGGAATGCCCTGTAAAAAGAGGCATTCCCTCCCACTTGAGAGACAAGGGAAAGATTTGTAGGACAATGCCTGCTGTGTGGTGCACATCATTGAGAGAGGACCTCACCTTTCTTCCTTAAAACCGGCAAGTTTTCCTCATTTGAAAAAAAAAGTGGAAAGAATTACAGCAGAATTTTATGTTCTACTCAAAAGGAAGTCCCAATCGATTTATTGGCATTTATTTCTTGGCGTTTATTATTTTTAGTAGATTTGTTTTTGCTCTCAGAGAAACATCTGAGAACAGGTTCCTTAGGCAACTATATCTTATCTCTTCTTCCTGAGTAGAAAGCCCCATTGAACTCAGTGGACTTAAGTAGGTGCATATCAGAACATGATATCAATCAGCAGTAGACCTCCATAGTACAGGAACTGACCACATGCATTCTCTGGATGTCACTGGGCTGCACTTTTCATCTGGTTTAAACCTTTAGAAGCCCAAAACAAAGCATTTCCAGGGCTGTTTACGGATGTTGTGAAACTGTGATTGAAAAATCTCAGCACATTTTGTAAAAATGCATCTTGTATAAGGAACAGCAAGCAGCAACAAGCTGAAGTTTGATTGCACTGTAAAAATGAATATTAAAATATTCACTTATGTAATAACTTCCCCATTTTCCCTCATCACTGACCTTGTGGCCAAAGTTGGCTGGGAGATGAGGTGGGTCAAGGGTGGCCCACCTCATCTCCCAGCCATCCTTCGGTTGTGATGGGAAACTCTTGGCAAATCCACACAGACAACATGTTAAGTAGGGCAGTGCAGCACTGTGGATTTGAATCCCCCAAAATGCTTCAGAGGCATGGATGTGGCCCCTATCTGCAATTCCTTAAAGCAGCTGTGGAAGTAATGCAGTTGCTTTAAGAAGCTGCAGACCAAGGTTACTTTCTCCCTGTCAGCCTTGTGAGGTAGTCCAGGCAAGAAGCATACCCAGGAATGCTAGCTCTATCTTTATTGTAAGGTTAAGTTAACAGAATCTTGCAAATCTGAAAGTACATCTCTCCCCCATCACTTTTATAGGGAGGGTCCCATCTGAGATGCTTGCCATGTCCACATACCGTTATACTTCCACTGTGCTCTGAAGCCCCTCTTTGCCTTGAGTTGCAGGGTCCTTGTGCAGATTTATTCTGGCTGTTTTTGTGGCTTAGCACATTGTGCTAACCAAGCCAGCCCCCTTGATGACATTATGGTTCAGTGTATTGTTTGCCCCCAGAAAAAAAGATTAGTTCTTCAAGCAGATCAAGCATCTTGTGTTATTGTAGCTGGAACGTCTACTCAGAAGTCAACCGGACTGAATTTAACAGAGCTTATTTCTAGGTAAATGAAATAGGATAACTGCACAAAGGACTCAAACCTATATGATCATTGAAGATTTCTTTCTTTTTTTAACTGGTTGAAGCCCTATTTTTTCCTTGACCTTCCAGAGGGTAAAAGAGAACTGATCATTGGGGGATGGCTTCTCTGAGATAGGACAAGATCAGAAAGAAAGACTCTATGGGTGATTATGTCTACACCAAGACCTCACACTTTCCATCAGCTTGAAGCCACAGCAAGCTTTGCATTGCATTTCAAGGGCTACCCCTGAAAAGTGGACAAGACCAAGCCATTTTTGGTTTTAAGATTTAAGGCACCCATTTTGCCCCTGAGGCACCTGCTATTCCTCCCCCCCCCACTTTCTATGCAAAAAAAGAACTCCGAGTTTTAGTTCCGTGCTCTGGAAGGCCCATGGTTCAATAGAAGAGATGCTGATGGACCATATTTCTTAATTGTCTCTTGGAATAGTGGTAGCTCAGGCTCTCTGTACATACTTTCTTTGGGGTTCTCCAGGTTCAGGAAGATCTGCACCAAGGTATAGATCACAAGTGCGGCAGATGTTTCATTATGCATTTGAACAAAGCTTCATCAGTAAAGAGGTCTGGAAGTGGGGGTTATTTTCAGCCTGGAGAGCCCCAAAGAAAGTGTGGACCATATATTTTGCACCTCTGGTCTTTCGAATCTGTTTAACACATTCTAACACATTTAACACCTTCTCAGGACAGTGAAGATACTATAGAACTTTCTTTCAGTTGCTCAGAATTTATATTTGCATCTCATTTTGCCTCTATAAAGAACAGGTTTTGGAACATCCTACCTGACAGGCATCCTTTCCACCTTCTTCATACCCAGCACAGATCATGTCAGCTTTGACGAGATCAGTTTCTAACTGATAGTTTCTGCTTCTATTATAGAGATCATTGCAGGTATCACGTTCTATGATTGGTACTTCCACTGCCTGAAGGATTTTTGGGGGTGCCAAGTCTTCTGTAGGAGAGAAATATGGAAGAATTTTCATCCATGGAATGCAAAGACAACAGACTTATGCACAATATGTAGACCTCCACAACTCCCAGCACACCCAGCCAGTAAGATGAGTGATGAAAGATTCTGGGAGATGTATTTCAGCAACATCTGGGCACCTATGCTGTGCACCTATGCTGTGGAATACCATTCGCCACTCGTACAACCTTGTTCCTTACTGTATATTGTTGGATTCATGGAAAATTGCTCTTCCCATATTTTTTAAATTTCCAATCATGTATTTAAAAAATGCCTCCATTAATTTACCCGCAATGATGTATCGAATTTTTTTTCCTGACCTCCCCAAACCAGCACTCTAACTACTTCCATGTCAGTACAAACACCTCATCTTACTTTGAAACCCGCTGCCTCTTCCACCTCTCCAAGTGCAGATTATTTTGATAGATACCTGCCTATATACTTTGGTCCTCCAGTTCCGTCACTGTTGTTTATTCAAAATAGATAAAATAAAACCAAACTTTTCATAGAGCTGGACTTCCTCAATCAGATGCCCCCTCAGATTACTCATGGACTACTCCCATAAAGACTTTGCTGTCTGTGATGCAACATACATCAAGTCATGTTGAGCAAGACTGTGGAAAACCTTGAAAAGCCCACATAGAAAAAGCAGCCTCAGCGGCTTTCTTTTCCCAAATAAAAATGTGTGTGGCTGAGCACCAGGAAAGAAATAAACAAAAAATCATATGCAGTCCAGTCTTCTGGGTCTCACTGAGAACAATTAAAAATGCTTCCTCCAGTTTTCCTCACCTGAAGACATAGTATGTCCCCACCCAGTGACCCAACATTCTGTGCCTGCAACAAACTTAGCAGAGGATGCTGGCAAGCAGACGGGAAGGATGTAGTCAGTGAAATGCACTGGGGAATTCAGCTCCACTAAAGCAATGTCCCCACTGGAACCGTCGCCACTGTAGTCAGGATGGGAGATGACACGTTTAACGGTGGATGTCACCATATTGGGAGAAGGGTCCAGGAGTTTATAAGCACCCAACTGTACTTCATACAGTGTTCCAGCACTGAAAGTTGAGAATCAAAGGTGAAATATAAGCTTTTGCAGGGGTGTTTGCAAGATGTGGTCAAAAAAATCAAGATGGTGGCTGTGATGGTGTGATCCAAACATGTGTGTGGTGCACATAAAAAAATGGGAAGAGTTTTGAATGTATCTTCACAGCTGCTGTCTTGATTTTTTTGACCATATTTGTGAATACCCCTGGAGCGGAGAGCTCTTTAACTCTAGTGTTAGGATGACTAGTGTGCATGGCTAAGTAAGATAATAATAGAATGGAATTTTCAGCTAGGTATATGGGAGGAATTTGCAAAACCTTTGTACAGTATATCAGGCAAAATTGCAAACAGAAGTATAAGGAAGTATTGGGCAAATCGGGCAAAATATATACATAATTTAGTGCATGTTTTTTTTTTTAAACCCTCACGCTTAATGAACTGAATGTGAAACATTTATAAAAATGAACATCTGAAAGTGAATTTGATCAAGTTTCCTGTCGCCAGTTGTGCCCGTGAATCCATTTCTGCTTTCTGTATGGTTTCCCACCACTGCAAAGCCATGGATAGGTTATTGGTACTCAGGAAATAACAACTTTTCTTGACTGCAGTGTTGGGACACTCCATCATTTCTTGTAAAGAATCAGTAAGGCCCTTCCCTCCCTTGCTTCAAGCTTTGATGCTGAATCCTTGTACATGAGAAATCATTGTGGGCCAATGTATATTTCTTTTCTCTTCAATGCAACCAGAGGGAAAGAGCTTTCTGCTCAAACAAGGGAAGTACTGTATTTTAAAAGCTGCAAATATTATAATTGTTAATAATTTTTAAAATAATATTACAATATAATATAATCCCATCCAGCAAATATTCCAATTGTTTGAATCTGCTTTTC